ACCAGACAGTTATAGAAGTACAAATGACAGACTCAATAATTCCTCTGTAAAACTGTATCAACAGCTTCTGGGGCAGTCTGAAATTCATGAGTTGATGCAGGAAGACCATTCTTTGTCGTACCTTTTTAATGATGGTTCCAATGTTAGGTGTCCATTTCAAGTTCTAGGAGATTATAGAACCCCAAAATTTGAAGGACTCTACTGTTGATACTACACTGGCGAATATGGTAAGAGGTGGTAAAATAAAAGGTCTCCTCCTAAAATCCACTCTCATCTCTACAGTTTTAAGTATAATGGCATGTTAATAAATGTTAATCAATTGCAAAAACCTATGGGGGGTATCAAGCAGAATAAAATAAGAATACAGAAAAATTATGAACTACTCATTCCTACCAGTGCATGCTGACTTCCTCATTTATCAGCCGGAAGAATCAAATCCAAGGAGCCTCCACAGGCACTTGCACAACATCTGCCCAACAATTTTAATATCGTTGCCCAGGGGAGAGCCAAATGGGTCACTGAACACCCTGACATAGGAAGACATATAAATGACCCTACAAAGAAGGGGCCAGGCTTTGAAATACCATGTCAGCAATGGACAATTCTGAATAGGATTCACATCTCACACGGCATCTGCCAGGACTCTCTGTATAAATGGGGCACAGTATCCTCCAGTGTGACTGCGGGGTCCCACGTCAAACTGTAGATCACATTGTGACCAACTGTAAGCTGAGAGCATATATTAGTCCAGTATTTGATTTTTTTAAATATAAACAGTGTTGTTCTTCAATGGTGAGATGGCCTAGACATTGGTATTTGAATATAGATATTTTTAACATTTATATTTTACTGTGTTTTACTAATCTAGGTGAAATATTAACATTGCTAATCCATGTATGATATGCCATACGCTACATAAATAAAGAATATTGAGAATAAAAAATTATGAAGATCAGGAGCTGATGATTGGTGATTGATGACTACATTTAACACTTCTGGAAAGGAAAAGAATTGCAAGTCCCATGGAAAGTTTGGGAAATTTTTATTTTAAAATTGTAAGATCTGGTGGCTTTCACAATAGTTTTTATGTTTTTTCTCAGAATTGAGGAAAATATGCTGCTGATTTTTAGCAATATGATTGGAAAGGGATGTAGGAATTTAGGGGTTGCATGTGGTCATAGGGACTTAGAATATCCACTCCTTAGAGTGGTGGCCATAAGGACAATAATGTCAAACATGACTAAAAAAGGAGCTTACCTCTTTAAACTTCTTATAAATGCAGAAGTATATTGAGAAACGCTGACAGACAGGAGAAATAGGAAGATGAAGTAATAGCTTTTGTGATATTTACCTTTGCAAGAATCACCTGATACATTACGAAATATAAGCCAAGCCTAATTCACTAGACTAGTGTAGTGTTTGTGCATCATTTCTAAGTAAACGTGTGATGAACTGCATGTTGCAAATTACTAAAATTCATCTAAGATGTACTTTATAAGTGAGTTGTTTCCATATTTCTAAACATAAAAGCATTCCCACTGATAAAACTCAAATATGCTGCTTGTGTGGCTATATATGCAAGAAGAACACACATAAACTTAGAACATTTAATTCCAGAACAAAAGATGCTTCTTGCTATTTTGGCTACTGCAGAGGGAATGATGACTCTTGTTTAACCTTGCTATAAAGATTAGAAGCCAACTGTGAAAACAAGCACATAATACACACACCCTTCCCCTCTCAAAAGCAGATCCCTATTTCCTTTTAGCTGCAGCAAAGAGAAACTTCAGTATCAGAATTAATCACACAAATGTGAAATAATATTTCTGTGGAAACAAAATTTGGCAACCATGTTCAGTCTAGTTTCTGCTTTTGCCAGACTCTGCTTTTAAGTTTAATAGCAACAATCCTTAACTGATGATGAACTGCATGTGGCCCCTAACATTCCTTTGTAATCACTCAATACTTCAAGATCACACTACCAAAATCTGGCAAAAAGAACTAACTGTTTTCCACAGCATAATTCTTTTTCCTTTAGTGTAATATTGAAAAAGTTAGCAGGAGGTCTCCTGGAAGACTATTGCTAACAGATAACCATGACAAAGATTAAATATTTTATCTGATAAATTTGACACATTCTGCTCTTTTCCTGGCACTGCTATATTTAGGATTGGGTTTCTCTCCCAACTGACTCCAAATTTTAAAAATTCCTTCATTTCATTTGTTTTTGACTTATTTTATTTGCAATAAGAACATCTATTGTAACTCTATCCTTCTAACAGATGGCCAGTACTATAACAGTATATCCCAACAAAAGAACAATACTGTACATTCCTGTTACTTCTATCATATGCCACATGTTTTGGTTTAATACACATCGATTTAAATATTTCCTCATGTTCTACTCCAAAAGTTACATATTTAAAAAAATCAGCAACACATACAACAATCAGTAATTGTATTATTCTCATAAAAAATCATAATTAAGAGAGTAGATAAGAGATATATCTTTCCTCTTTCCAAGCAGCAATGTTGTAATCTCAATTAACTGGTTACTAATTCTCCAGATTTAGCTCGTAGGTTGCTCAATGTTATTTTTCTGTCAGATGCAAAATGACTTTATAGTATTCGTACTACTTTGTTTCTTAGCCCGTGTTCTTTTGCTAGCCAATATTTTCAACAATGATCTCATGATCTAAGCTTAATTAAAGAAACAAACAAACTCCTGGTCTTTACAGCTGCTACCTCTCCTCTTATAGTTAACTTGAACATCCTGAATAGCTTTACTGGGCTTTGGATATTCTTGAACAATACAAAATGGACTAGAGGGATGGCCAGGCAAAGGGAGAATGACCTTAACACAAAGAGCTATAGATGAGACCCAATGGTAAAGTGATTTCAGGATTCAAGATTTCAGTCAAAAGTATGTCAAGTACTGGAAAATCTCCAAAATTCCATTAATTTTGCTATGTATTCTGTGTGTGCCAGAAGCCAAAAGCATACAGAAAAGTTCTACATTATAAATTCGCACTTAATCACATTCTCTGAAAGTATGTGTGTACTTTTCATCCATCTCCTGCTTATTTATACTTGATCATATATAATGAGCTACTGCAACTAAAAATGACCCAACACCAATATCTTATGTGTTTGCAATTATCTTTTTCAGAAATGCTGAAAACTAGCCATGCAAATAAAATGTTTGATAGTTAGCCAATATATTTAATCACTGAACTACAACTGGATATTCTAGAAAGTGAAGTTAAATTGGCTCTATAAAATATTGCTAACCAAATGCTGCAAGAATTGGCGAAATATCAGCAGAACTCTAAAATCTGATAACAAAATGCAGAAAAGAGTTTTGTAAACAAGTATAAAAAACAACTGTGACCAAGGGAGTGAAAAATATCCATTATATTTGAGTACCACAAAAAGGTAATGTTAAGGAATGTTCTAAGATAATGCCCAATATTTTGCAACACTAATTTTAATAACACATGGAATAAGAATTTCCAGGGGTACAAATAGATTCAGAAGAAGTGATGGCACCCAAGATCATTTGATTAATAGCTAATGGAAACATGGAAAAAAAGCGGGTTTTTCCAAAACATATATATTTTTCTTTTACTGATTATACAATGGCTATTGATAGGATAGTCTGAAACATACTATGGATATTCCTTAAAAACCTGTTATATCAGAAACCTCATTTACCTATTGAAAATTACTATTACCAGGAACTCTCCATTGGAATGCAATATAAAGCAACTAAATGGTTCAAAATGGAGAAAAGAATATGTTAATGTTGTGTATTTATATCTCATTTATTCACCTTATGTGCACAATGTAAGTGGCAACAGATGTTATCTTTCTAGAATCAAAAAAATGACAGAAATAGGAAGGTGTTAATATATCTAGATAAAGTTTACAGGATATATGACAATTATGTAGGGGACACAGTTTTCTAAATTTTGAAGAAATTAGTACACTGATTTCAATTAACCTTTTAGAATAGCAGTCAGTTGCTCACACCATTTCTTCCAGTAATCCAGTGATTTTTGTAAATACAATTTGAATGAAATCTTTCCTTGACTCAATCTTTTGTCTGATATTCCCTATTTGATTGACATATACCTGTGATACGAATACCACAAGAATACCTGCAGTATGGTTACAACAGAAGATATTGAGAAACTAAAAATATAAACTGCTTATTCACAAGATTGCTGCAACATATTAGGGATATGCAAAATATTCAATTTTTCTTTCAGATCACAAGCTACTTCTATCAATTTATATATCTAGGGAAAAATTAATCCAATTAAAATCAAGGCAAAAAAAAAAGTAAAACAATTGATTGCAATAATTATTTAAAGCTTGGAAAGACAGATGTATTTTTACCATCTTCTTAAACAGCAAGATACTAGAAGCCAGAAACATCTTGAAAACACATTTCACTTCCAGACAATTGCAGGACTATTTCCAGAGCAGCTGAACCAGCACTGACTGGAGGAAGAATGGAATGTTTCAGAATTCCTTGGAACATTCTGTCTCCAAAATGTAATATTCAACATACTGCACACCCAAATACATAAAAAGAGATATTGGGCAATAATACAGTGTTCAACTGCAGTGGTAGCAAAAACAGGGCTCTCATCATTGCTTACCATCATGTTGACACTTAACATGATTTGGAATGATTGACTGTAAAAGACACTCTCAGAAGAGACCTGTCAAACTCCTAATCTAAAACCCCTGCTTCTATATTATGATATAATATGTTCATTTATTAGAATGTTTATTCAACAAAATGGACAGGATTTATACAAAATGATAAGAATGTAGTCAACTGCTATCTGTTCTTTAGTTCTCTCTATAAACTGCTTAAACAAAATTTAAATAGCTCCTTAAATAAGCACTTACTATTCCAAAATATAGTAAGGCATTCTTATTTTTGTTAGCAATAAGCTCATTTATGAAACATAGATTTGTATACATACCAGCTAAAGTATAATCCATATCAAATCCAAAGCACTTTATTTTTTCCATGGCTAGACTTCTATTCACAAAAACCCTGCCAAAAAAAAGGTAAGAAAACCAATAGTAAGTATTGTTGATATGAAATCTGAGTAAATAGCATGAGGATCACATATGCTTCAAACTATCCAAGAGTTATTAAGGGAACATGCCAAGGGACGAAATGACTGAGACGCATTTACAGTGATCCTGAGCACATTCACTTTGGAGCAAATGCCACTCGACTCAGTAGACTCATCTGGGAATAACCTTATACTGTTCAGAACTGGGCTGTTAATCTTCTAAATGCAATAACATTGCTGGATGCTATCAGTGGCAGTTGTATTTAAAAGATTCTTAAGAGAGCGGATTTTTCATTTCATATAGGCGAACAGAATTAACACGAATTGCAGATACCAATCAATAATAAAGAAAAAAGGATGAAATAATGTTCATTTTTTTAACTCAAAGAAAATAAAAACAATATACCAAGAAGGTGGCATACTGGCTGTGGATTGTTTGCCTACTAATTATATAATTTTTTAAATATTAAAATTATTCTCAAAATCAAGCCTATCTCATTGTATCATTAAATAATCTATGATTTAAAAATGCTATATAAATTACACTCTAATTCCACCAATATATAAATGCAGAAAAGGTAACGGTTAAGTTGTCCCTGCAAGTTTTACCCCACTTTAGGGGGCAGTGCTCATCTCCGTTTCTTAAGCCAAAAAGTAAACGTTGTCCAAAGATATTTTGGTGGTCATTTGGCCAGCATGACATCACCCTGCAGCGCAAAGTATATGGCGAAACATGAATGCTGTTACCTTCCTGTATGCTTATATGTAGTACCCATTCATCTACTTGCCATGCTTTCGAACTGCTTGGTTGGCAGGAGCTGGGACAAGTGATGGGAACTCCTTCAGTCTTGCGGTACTCGGGTCTCATACTGCCGAGCTATGGACCTTTAACAGTCTAAGACTCAGCATCCTATCCACTGAGCCACCTTATAAATGCATAAAAATGTATGGTGTACATTAATTTAAATTAACCCCTGCGCTAACAACTTTATATTCAAAAACATACAATTCTTTTTATACTATACAATTCAGTTCTGAAGAAGCTTCTTGGATGAGAAGCAAAATGTTTTCAAGGAAACAACCAAGTCCAGTTGCCTTTTGAAAAGAACCTTTGGGACAACCATGACCTGAATGATTGAGAATCTCCATAAATTTCCCTTTTCTCCTTTAACATTTCATCCTATAAGTAGCATACAAGTGCACTATTTATTACATCACAAACTTGATCATGCACTAACTTGAACAATCAGCTGTTTCAGTACCGCAGTACAGTTCAGTTATTTCTGGTGCCTTCCGAAAATTAAAGGAAAATCCCTTGAAGACCTTGCATTATTATTTTTTAAATTGCCCTACTATTAAATATACCCGTGAAGAAAGGAAATTACTTGTTTGGGAAATATGCTTGAAAAGTAATTGAATTTTTGCCTATTAAATAAAGTACTGAAAATATGTAATTTACATTCTACCATAAGACAAGGTTAACAAAATTACATTTTTGAAAAAATTCAGAGAAATCAGTCAATCCAAACTTGTGGAATAATGCTTTCTGCATTAATGAAATAAATACAGTAGTCAATTACAAACACACTAATAGGCTTTTTGTATCTTCAAGTACTACTTGGATTTTCTTTTTAGATTTATAGGATAAAAAAGATTAAAGTAACATTTCACTTGTACAGGCTTATGAGGTATGTTAAATATTAAAAAATGAACAAATACATCCGAAGATGCATTATTAACTGCTTAGAACCTCAGAGATTTCCCTTCCAAAATTCAAGTACTATCTAAACAGCTAGTCTTAACACAAGACAATTTACAAATACGCACATTTGAATTCCATTCCACCATTAACATTTAACGTCAAACTATCATATTTCTGTACTAAAAAACTTACCTCATCATCTTATTTGGAGGTTCTTGTAAAATTTGTAGCTGTCAAATTCACGTTACCTATTTTTTAAAAGACTCCGTTCCCCCATATATAAGCAATTTTGCTTTTTTCTGGCTTGATTTCAGCATAGCACTATGCGTGAAACAAACTGGGAGATGCCACGTATTTGTTTAGACAGTGCTAGAGAACCCAGATCTGCAGCTAATTTAATAAGTTACAGGATATCACTGTTCAATACATCTCCGTTTGGAATAGAATCTCTCTGGCTATATGTTTTACCCTTACTTTCAATGCAGCTCTTAAGAGTCACAATTTCCTGGCAAGCTGCCTGTTTTGGCAGTGAAGCATAGAAAGTACAACGGTGGAATGAGATAGGAGGGAGGGGAGAGACAGTTAAACATGACAAAAGTTACACAACAGCTACCATCAGAATATACGAAAGGCACTATAAACAGAAGCAATATTGCAAATTTATGATGTACCCTATGAGCCCTTGGGATATCAACAGAAAGGCAGCATTGCTAAATATCTCATGGTTTTGGGTAAACAAGATATGATTCATCTTTCTCATGCATGGTTTGATCTCTGGCAACAGGATCATCACAAAAAGGCAGTGGGGCTTTTTTGTACCCTCTGAGGATTCTCCAGATATAAACATAGATATTAGTTTGTAAATTAAAATGAAATTAACCACAAAACAGTCCACAGAATTCAAGTTCTTTCTGACAGTTTAGGAATCTCATCTGAAAAAAAGGAGAGATTGAAGAAATTGCATGTTCAAGTGCATAACCAGTTAACAGTCTGTTTGGACAGAACAGAATCAGGGGTGATAAGCACAGCACCACAATTAAAGAATGGTTCTCTCTGTACTATAAGGGTTTGTTCCAATATGGAAAAAATAATATAGTTCCTTCTAATTTTACAGAAACTTCTTCCTTCATACAGTTAACCTCAAAATGAGTATTTTTTAAACACTATATAGGACAGCAAGGAAGAACCAGTTTGTGGTGATAGTTAAGACATCAGGCTACAAATTGGTAGACTATGAATTCTAATCCTGGCTTAGATATAAAGCCGACTGAGTGATTTGGGCCCAGGCACTTTCTCTCAACCCTAGGAAGCCAGCAATCCTTCTGAAAAGGTTGCAAAGAAAATGTTTGCAGTCCTTAGGAATCAAAACTGACTTGAAGGCACATGTGTGCCTGCGCGTGCACACACATGCGCGCACACACAAATATATACACACAGAAAGAAAGGAAAAAGACATGTTTAAAAATGTCCCTACATATTTTGCCTTTTTTCTACTCAAGTTCTCCAGACTCAGAGAATATAATCCTGCTCCATGCCAGATAGAAATGTTGGTGTCTCTGAATACTAAACAATTTTGTGGCATGGCAGCAGATAAGTACTGAACAGTTATGCTGGTTTTTATATACAAAGGAGACTACTTGGAATATAGGAAAATATTTATATGCACTTTTTTTAACGCAAGCAGATTCTATAGCAAACTGAACCTACTCTTTGTCCTTCCACAAAATGTTGAGTATGACAGGATTTGAAAGTAAGAGAAAATTAGAAAAAAATAGCTTTTAAGGATTAGAGGCAATGTCATTTAGAATGAGTGAATGAAGCTTGTATTAGGGATATAAGAGATAAATATTCCTTGAAACCAGTTCCTGTTTCAATCTCTCCCACAAATGGATTGAAGGCATTGCTCAATATTGCCCAACCTGCATTGTATCCTCTAAGATTCAGGTCTAGATAAACATTTTCTTTGATAAATAGCTTTGATCCTTAGAAGTCAGGACACTTAGATTACAATAGTGTTTAATTCAGGGCTATGACTGGAAGGGTATTCATATATATTGTCTCATGGAAACAATACAATTTACCAATTATTTATCCTCCAACCCACAAATTAGATAATGCCAACTGAGTTGGATAATAAAAGTAATATTTGATTCTGATGGAAATGCTTACTTTTCTATGCTATTTCTATTAATTACTAAATAATGAAGAATAATAATTGTAAGGGAATTCCAGTAATGGTGCAGAGTCACTTGGTGAAGAGATGGGCAGCCTAGAAATTTAATCAAACAATCAATGGTACAATATACATATGTGGGCATTTATAAGGGCGTATAAAAATATACCTAATCTTTTTCTGGTAATATCAGTTCACTTTGTATTAAATTTTAGCATCCAGGACTGTACTGTACAGGTGTCATCAAAATGAGAAATGACAAAAGTATATAAAAAAAGAAAATTGTAACACACACACACACAATTCTGAATTCTGCAAAAAAGTATTCAAGAGAGCCAAAGTCATAAAAGAACTCCATAGAACAGTGATTCTCAACCTGTGGGTCGGGACCCTATTTGGGGTCGATCTACCATTTCACGGGGGTCGCCAAGCAAGGCTGTCCGCCATTTTTTTTGTCCGCCATTTTTTTGTCCGCTATTTTTTTCGTCCGCCATTTTTTCCCCCTTTTCCGGCGGGTGCCTTACCTCTCTTGGGCTGGGCCAGCTGGTGGTTGGCCTGCTCCGTCTCTGCCGCTTGCCAGCTACGCCTTGGCCGGCGCAGGGGGCGGAACCACGTATGCGCGGCGCTCCCGGGTAGAGAAAGTCCTCGACTTACGACCGGTTGGGTAGTCCTCGACTTACGACCAGTTTAGTCCTCGACTTACGACCGGTTTAGTCCTTGACTTACGACCGGTTGGGGTCGCGGCATTAAAAAGGTTGAGAACCACTGCCATAGAACCTTTATAAAAGCTCATAGGTTGATCCCACCCATTCCCTAGGCAAACTCAAAAGTTGGTGATGCTGAATGAGGTGGATGATCTTTGCTTTTATATTTTTTTAATGGCTGCTATGTGTATACGTTTTTATCATTTTTAATATTGTTACCACCCTAGAATTGTGTATCTGAGATGGGCAGCTACCTAAATCTACTAAATAAAATGAAATAAAAACTTGTATATTTAATTGGAACTCTTCATTAGAAGGATTGCTAACTTATGAAAATTACGGATATAAACTCCTCAAGCAAAATCAAAAACTTCTATGATATAATTTTCTTTCAAG